TAATCATTCTCACCTAAATAGAATAATTTGGGACCTGGGAATTCTCTCTTACATATGCTTTTCCACACTCCTCCTGAGTTGCTTAGAAGAAATACTCCAAATGCCATTCATCGACCATTACTATTTCCATCACCAAGTACAACCAAAAAGGCCAATTTTCATTATTCCTGTGAGTTCTACTACCCAAGTGGGCATGAAAATTAACTAAGCATAAATTCTTCAGAAGGAAGATATTTTATTATCTCCCCATGCCTAGAAGCAGTATAATAAGAGAGAAGTAAGTGTGTAAACATGACTAAGATCTGTATTTATGGAAACATATGGCACCTTGCTATTAAAATGGGCCAACAAAGGAAGTTTTGAGTGAGGTCATAAAGTTCTAGAAGACATGAATCCCACTGTACCTGAAGTTAAGACCTACCCCAGCATGCATATAGGATGAGTGTTTAACCAACTGCAAAATGATAGGTATACCATGGGTGTTTTACTCACTGCGACCTACCCCACCATGTGCATGGGAGGGGTGTTTAACTCATTGCATATTGATGGGTATACCATGGGTGCTTTACTCACTGAGACCTACCCCAGCATGTGTATAGGATGGCTATTTTACTCACTGCGTACTGAAACTTTTCATTATATTCCCGGTCATTGGCTTTCACTCTCCGTTCCACTTCTAAAGAGAAAGAGAAATCAGGTATGAAATTAAATTTTAGGCCCACAGAAACATATAACTCATTAAAATAACATCACTCAGGTTACTTTGATTGTTGTCAAGGTTGCAAGAATTCTTTCCTTTGAAATTTGAAGGGCATTGGTTTTTTTCCAGTTTAAATGTTGGAACAAATGTTGGAAATTCCCAAAACAAAAAGCTGAAATGTGTTCTCACTGTCTTTCTGATGCTAGCCATAAAGCAAAACATTATGTGTCTCCAATTTCTACCTCTCTCCAGCTCCGCAAAGACCCTTCCTCTTAATTTCCAGTAGTTCCTAAAAAAGAAAGAGCCACTAAAATTCAAATGCACCCTGGGGAAGAATTTCTTTTCCTTTTGCTACAAAGCCACAAAATATAGCATAGTCACATAAAACCACACAGAAGTAGCCAGCGAGGTCACTGACCTTATGATCATAGAGCCAAAGGTGATATTTGTAAGCAACCCAGACGTATTCAAGAGGAATACCCCATGATCAGGAGACTGAGATCTGCCTTTAGCTGGAAGTGACCAAAGAACAAAATCTCTTCTGAAACTGAATGCAAACACCAGTGCAAACAGCAATATAAAAAGACAGCAAACCCAAAGATTATGACAGTGCAGAAATAAAAATTTGCAGAGGACAAAAGACAGCACCCCAAAAACACTGTAATAGCACGTCTTGCAGTAAGGGTAACAAGCTCTTGCTCCATGTTTACTGGAGAGGTGCTATCAGAATTGACCAAAGGTTTATGATGAAATAATGAGATCTAAGGGAACAAAGTCAGCAAAGTAACCACCAAATGTCCATGTCGGACGTCCAGAAAAGTGAAACAACCATCTCACCCAGGATTCCCTAAATCCCACAGTTCTCCAACTGGGTAAGTGATAGGTGGCAAAGGTGTAGGTATTGGCATAAGAGTCTGAGTTTACACAAGACACCTATGACCGCAAAGAAAGGAGACTGGATGGTGGAAACTAACTTGGAGGCACAGGTTAGGGTTGGAGAAGGGAAGAGCAAAAAAAAAAGTAAAGACAAGAAGAGCTAGAAGTAAAAGGAGATGAGAAAGATGAGGGAGCAAAAGAGGGAAAGAAGGAAAGAGGAATATATTTTAGCACCTGCCCCCATATGCCAGGCACCATGATTATAAGAACTGACTAATTTTTCCTAAAAGTCTAGGAGCAATCTAAATGTCTCTGCAGCCCCCTCAACTCCCAAGGCTCTGAGGAGTACTCCTGACAAACGATACCCTGCCTTTGGTTACACTTGGGTTTCTACCATGTGAGACTGTTTTGTCTATTTGGTATCCACCTATGCAGTTGCTTTCTTGTCTACCTAATAAAATCAGTTCCCTATGATTGTTCCTGTTTTCCAGTTTAGCTCAGCTAATTGCTGATAAGGACAACAATGAACTGATATCAACAGCTGATGCCACCTGAGTGGACGTGCTCCTAACGTGAATAACTCTGAAACTCAGAACCACCAGGAAGCAACCTCTCATCCAACCACGTACCTGAAAGAAACATTTCAAACCCTGGCTGTAAAAGCACCTCTCTTCATTGCTGATTTCTCAACAAAGAGCAAAGCTACCAAAGCCCAAAATGGTACGTAGGAGGGCAAGAGAACTTAAAAGTTTAAATAATAAATAATGTATTTATATAGCTCTACCCAGCAATAATAAAACTGCTGGTAAGAAAATAGTGAATATTATTGAGAGGGTGGATATTTCTGGAACAGTTATAATTATTTAATATTCACTAGTTAACCTGGCCCACTAGCTTGCTGCATCTAATTCATATTAATAGATTAAGTTAAACAGTGAATAGAAATCAGAAATGCTAATGTGTATATTAATTGATTTTGGCGTACATTGCTCACATTCAGATGATAATCTTTTTTAAATTTCACATTTGTCTGAAGTGTATCCAAGAGGATTCTACAGCTCTGTATCTAATTCTGCCCACTCCAATTGCCAGAATCATGACCTGATGAGCCATGTAGGAACCATTATGGCCAGTGTCTCCACATAGCCACACTCCACAAGGATTGGGACTAGCCCTTTCCCAAAGAAGCCAAGTAATTTCTACAGAAGGTCAGATTTGATCTTCTGGGTATCCAGATTGCTTTTATGCCATAAGACCTGATTAGAGCCAGGCAATCCTCCTTTTGTTTCTAAATCCTTGTTAATAAGTCAAAATCTTTGCTTCTGTACTTCTAATAATTATTATCTTTCTTAACTGAGTCTTTGTGGATTAATTCTGGCAGAAGAGTTTACATCCCTTCAATTAAGCTGTGCAAAATTTAGCTGAGCACAGTGGCTCACACCTATAATCCAGCACTCTGGGAACCTGAGGCAGGAGGATCACTTGAGCTCTGGAGTTTGAGACCAGCCTGAGCAAGAGCAAGATTCTGTGTCTACTAAAAACAGAAAAAAAAAAAAGAAAAAAAGATTAACCAAGCATAGTGGCTGATGCCTGTAGTCCCAGCTACTCAGGAGGCTGAGGCAAGAGGATTGCTTGAACCCAGGAGTCTGAGTTTGCTGTGAGGGAAGCTGACATCACAGCACTCTAGTCTGGGCAACAGAGGGAGACTCTATCTAAAAAAAATAACTGCAAAATTTGACTTCGGTTCTAAATCTCTACAATTGTAAACCTTTAACCTGACTATGAGAGGCCTGAATTATCTCTGTGGGGATTAATTTTCTTCCAAGTGCTACCATCACGTATGAGGGGATATAAACCCCTCTTGGCCATAAATCACATCCTGCAAAAGAGGAAGCTGAAAACAAATCCCCCATAACAACTCCTACTGAGAATGACTCAGAGGGCCCATGATCTTATGCTTGACACCTTATAGGCATTATGGGACACTTCCAGATATTAGAATGAAAGGGAAGTGTCATCAAGAGGTTTATGACCTACTAGTGCAAGTCGAATCCTGCACAATTATCACCGAGTTTGTTCAGTTCCAAAAAGGAGTGAAGTGATACATAGGATGGATAAACTATCATAAACCAGTAGGTTTAAATGGAGTGAAAGGGGTAGAAGAGCTTCACGTTTGAGAAGGCAAACTAAGAATGCCTTTTCCCTCCCTTCCTTCTCAGCTCTCACTGAAATGACAGAAAATATGGATTGTTTTAAAGAATAAAAACATAACAGGGCTAGAAAACAAGAGTAGTGGCTAGCAGAGGTTTACAAATTTTGAAGAAAGCCTAGAAAATAAAATAGAAAGCAGATGGGGTCATTGCAACCATGATTAACTCCAGCCAACAGAATTAAAGGAGTGCCCCAGAGCAGCCCCCAAGTAAACACGAGGTTGACAGTGCATTTACAGATAGGGAGACCATCCCAGTTACATCTATTATCTTGGCAAAATAATTAATAGAGTCCCTTTCACTCTCAAAACTGTCTCAATTTGGATGACCAATTAATATATATGATCACCTCACTTACACAGCATCATCAGAGTGATCAAATAATAATCAAGCCAGCTGGGCACTCCCACACTCCCTCTTCTGCCCACTAAAGAGAGTAGTCAACATGCCACAGGAGGAAGCCAAGGTGCGTGATGGGTCTCCAAGAGAAACTGCTCTGACCCCCACAGCAGCTAAAGCAGGCTCAGCCCTCTGGAAAACCTGCCTTCCCAAGGTGATGGTGGAAATCACCAGACTGCCAGACTAATCCACAGAAAAGCCTCTCTGTCAGCAGGTCACTCTCTGGCCCTTCTGTTTAAGGGAGAGGCCTGGCGAGGAGAAAGGCCTTCACAACCGCACTGATCTGTCTAGTCCTTCATAGATACAGATATCTGAGGAAAACCAACAGCACAAAAAAGAGGGACACAAGGGGAAGAGTAATCCTGAATCAGACAGGTAGAGAAAAGGGATTGATTTTTCTTTTTAATTCTAATTAGAATCTCAAAGATATTTAAGAAGACATGGCATCACCAAGCACAAATAGCTGATATGAGCAAAGAAAACAGAAAAAAAGGAAGAGTTCCCAGCAATTAAAATTATTCAATGGGCATACTGTAGGGTACGATGGACAGAATGGAAGAGAAGATTAAAAAAAAAATCTCTTAAAATGTATATTAAAATGACAAAGAGGAGGAAAATGTGAAGAGAAAACTTAGGAGAAGAATATAAACAATGGATAAGGGAAAATAATAAGAAGGAAATTTCTCTCTACCAGAGTAAGATATAACTCTTCATAAGGAGAGGGCCAACAAGTACCAATAGGATGAATAAAAATGGACCCACAGATCTTCATAAAATTTTGAGCCCCAAGAACAAGCAGAAAATTATAAAAACATCCAGAAGGAAAAAAAATGGTTAGCCCAAGACACAAGAATCAAATCAACATGAAATTTCTCATCAGCAAAAAGGAAGAAGACACTAAAATGACACACTTCGGTGTTAAGGAGAAATGTTTTAGAACTTGGAATTTTACGCCAAAAATAATCAGTTAAGTGCAAAAAGGAAACACAGACATTTCCAGACATGAACCGTATTTACATATAAGACCATTTCTGAAACAATTACTCTAGAATGTACAATAGGAAAAGTGGTTTAAACTTAAAAGTAAAATAGAGTGGAAGAAAACACAGAAGCAAGAGTGATGATGAACTGGAGTCAAGATAGATAATAAAAATGCTGTCATAACGCCCCACAGCCCTGCTGCGGGTGGGCCACGTCTTCAACAGAAAAGGGAGCACCTATCTATTGCCCTCATTCCACAAAGCCTATTAGGTAATAATAAACTAGCATATCATGAAAGGTACAATTATTATTATGCTAGTTCTTGGATCAGACATTAATTTCTCTAAGAAATCCTCACACAGAAGTCATTGTTTGATATGAAAAGCATAAAATGACGGTTTTAGAGCTGTGTTTTGTAACAACCCTAGGGATATCATCCCAAAACACAATTCAGTTTCTGTATTCATTCTCTGCTGATGCAATTAAACCCAGGAATGTATTTTAGGCTAT